TATTATTATTATTATTATTATGGTCATGCTAAGGGCCAGACATTGCCGGGGTTTTTCCGACCGACATGATCTTCGAATTCTCGGTGACTTTCTCAGCTAAAGCTACCCGTACACGAGGTGGAAAACCTGCGATACTGCTGTGGCGGCTAAGATTTAGCCACTACGCCCATGCAAAAGGAGCAGGGACATTAGGGTCGAGCGTGCACCTGGTACGTCCCCGCAACATACTAGCAGTCGCTGCAGGTCAACAGGCATTGTCCCGCGGATGGCATTGGCTATCGTCAATGTCATGCCGGGGATTAGCCTGGGACCAGGCAGCGATGTTGCAGACCAACGGTCGTCTCAATTTACGACCTCCCTGGGCGGTCATCGCGACTTTCCCGCGCGAGGGCGGTTCCCGCGTAAACCTTTCCCGCGAAAACTTAGTTTTTCCGCGCGCGGGTTGGCGCTTTTTTCTACCCCTTCCGCGAACACTCGACCGCTTTAAAAGCTCCTAAGTCAGAGGACCACAGGACAGTTTGAAACCTTCTACGACGCCGTGGTTATCGTCCCGACGACCGCGACGAGCGCCGACATACTTATTGCGACCCACTTCACTACAATACGGTAACAATTTCATCCAGAATACGAAGAAATCAATTTAATTTAGTAGAATATAGTGTTTCTATTATTACTCGAATATGCAATAATTTGTCAGAAAGGCAGTCCTGACGAAAGGTTTTGCCATTTTTGGTGTCCATCGCAAATGGATCCCTATTCTATGATATGGCTGGTGCGTTTCAAAGTCTGTCCTAGTCAAAAGGCTAAGTATCATCGATAATCACTATAAAAGAGCATCCACTGACTCTCTAAAGTCCTCAAAAAGACACGGCAGACTGTGATTTTGTTGTATAAGAACCGTATATTTATTATAAAATTATAATTTACACGCGTCTTATATCCCAATCGTTCACTCTCACGCTTCTTGTAACGAACTGAACTTCCTTATTACATGTTGACTCTGATCCATAGCAACTGCGCAACACCACGCATTCTAGACCTTCCACTCGCGCTTCTAAGAATATACGTATCTACATTCGTGCCATTACTCGACCTCGCGCATTTGCATTCGCACTAGTAAAACGAAATGCAGACTGCGAGGAATAGCGGAAAAATTGGGAAACAGGAACAGGAAGCACGGGGGGGCGGGTGGCGCGAGCCAGAAAGAGCACAGACGATCCGGCACGCAGCTGAACAAACTGGGATTCCCGAATAATAGAGCAAGTCCGCGAGCCACGTACGAGTGTTCAATCCGGAACTTGGTTCGTTCTTGCGGAGATCAAATCCTTGCTCCCCTTTCCACGGTTCCGCAGATACGGACGCATAGCTATGCCACTTTTGATACGGTTCCGCCTGGGCAAGGACCTCTCGACCCTGCCTCAGGTCGAAGCGTAGCTGGAGGGTCGTCGCGAGGGACCAGCTGGCAGAGACCTTTCGCTTAGGTGCTTTCAAGGTGTGCACGTGCACGTTCACCGTGCTCACGAATGCGGGGCTTGACGCGTCGGCGTGATATCGCATAAACGCGCGCGTTCCATCCTCGGTTTCTATCGAAATCGGAAGAAGCCTCTCTCGTTCCCTTCGCCGCTCTCTTCCGCATACTTACCAGCACGCCGATATTTCACGCGGCTAATGCATCGAAATTCCTTCGACTGATGTCTCTCTAACGCCTCGTAATTACCCGGGAACAGGCAAGCAAAGCAAATCCTCTGCTCTCCGCCTGCTGCTGCCCCGTGTCATCAGCGATACGTTTACTGGCCCGCCTGTCGCGTCCTCGTTCCCCGACCGACGCGTTGTTCACCGTCACGATTATGACACGGTTATTTATTAATTAACCTTTATACAAGGGTGTTTGTCGCGGCTACCGGGCAATTTATACAGGTTCATTTGAACGTTGCTATGCGCCGTGCTTTGTGCGCCACGATTTATTGTCCAACGCTTGCTGAATCGTCTACCGCGTTTTAACCTGCTTTCTTCCCTTCCTGCGGCACGCTTCACGGTTTTAATTTTCGAATTTGCCCCGAATTTTGCTTGTATTTTATTATTATTATTAATTTTCTTTTTTTCGAGGGTTGGATTGAAGCGAATTTTTTGGGGCGGTGAAGTTCTTTTCGTTTAATTTCTTAATAAATTAAATCGAATTTTTTGACAGGTAAAATGTGCGATATTTCGATGAGTATGATTTTCATTTAATTTGTGATAGTTTGAGAAGAATTGCTTTTAATTCGTTTGAATAAATTTTCAAACTCTAAAAATATTTACTGTTTGATGTTTATACAAAATAAATATCGAAGTTGTGTTTTTAATTCGTCAAAAAAATTTTGCAAATTGTCCTCAAAGCTACCGTTATACTTTTTACGCGTCCTTTATCTTTTGTTTCTCTTCATAATTTGCACTCTGTACCAAAACATCGTCGAATGCTGGAAAATTGTCGACGTAGTTTGCTTCAAATTCAAGTTGCTCGTGCTACAATTATATTTACGTCAGGGAAGGACAAGCTGGTAGGAAAAGAAAGAGTCAAAGATGCGATCAAATTTCTTCGATAAAGAAAATTCGCGCTGATCCACGGGTAGAAAAATTCGATTAGTAATACGAGTCGATGGTGTATAACCAAAAACGTTGAAGTATTCTCTTTGTTTCGTCCTTCCGTCTTTTTTGTCCCTGTCATTTTACAGGCTAAAATATTTTTTACTTCGAAACCGTTTAGGTTTACGTGCCTCGCAAATATTTTGTTGAAAAAAGCGCGATCCTTTGTGCCTTAGGTGTAGGTACACAAACGCCGATGAATGAATAATAGTCACGTGACGCTGGTCACTCTATAGGGTGGAATAAGGGCTATATAAACTGAAAAGTGGTGACTCTCTGTCGTTATCGGAAGGAAGAAGGTCGAGTGGAAACTGTGCTCTCGTGAATAAAAATCTAAACTAAGGAAAAGATAAACTCGGGAATAAAATTAAAAAATTTACCGAATTCGGAATAAATCCATATACATCTGTCGTGTAACGATAAAATTGGTGATACAGAAAAAATATCACGTGTGAAGAATTATGTTTTCGACAGTAAAATGATAAATAAGAAACGCTGTTAATTTGATAATTTTTTAAAAAATAATAATAAGAATAAACGTATAACTAAAAAATAATTACGATAAAATTGGTGATACAGAAAAAATATCACGTGTGAAGAATTATGTTTTCGACAGTAAAATGATAAATAAGAAACGCTGTTAATTTGATAAAGTTTTAAAAAATAATAATAATAATAATCGTATAACTAAAAAGATAGTAACGGTAAACTTGGTGATCCAGTGAAAATATTATGTGTGAAGAATTATACTTTCGACTGTAAAATGATAAATAGGAAACGCTGTTAATTTAATAAATTTTTTAAAAATAATAATAATGAACGTATAACTAAAAAAATAGTAACGATAAAATTGGTGATACAGAAAAAATATTATGCGTGAAAAATTATACTTTCGACTGTAAAATGATAAATAGGAAACGCTGTTAATTTAATAAATTTTTTAAAAATAATAATAATGAACGTATAACTAAAAAAATAGTAACGATAAAATTGGTGATACAGAAAAAATATTATGCGTGAAAAATTATACTTTCGACTGTAAAATGATAAATAGGAAACGCTGTTAATTTAATAAATTTTTTAAAAATAATAATAATAGACTGTCTGTAAGTAACCTTGCTCTTAGAATTAAAGGGGCCAACGAAAAATAATATTAATTTAATAATCGTTGATATATCGAATAAACGTTTTAATATGTACACTTGTACGGTTGTTTACGATGCTGGAATGAATCTATTTGGAAAATGACGACTCCTTATCCGAACAAAGGAGCACCTGATTCGCCTCCATTCAGCCCACACACGGACCTTTACGGGCAGCCATAACGAGGACGTTGCACCATACGTTACTACATCTTCTTACATAATGTTCGACGATATTAGCTATAAAATCATCGAGTGAGACGTATGTAACGTAACTGGTTTCGGTATATATATTTAATACATACATTAACCGGGGCTGGAACGACACCTGGACCCTCGTATCCCGATACGAACGCGGAAGAACAGTGAACCCGAGTGGCGATAATGAGGCCGATTATAAATCGGGACAAATGTCCGTGAACCAGCAACTTCTGCATTCATTTTCCCGCCATTGACGCTTATCGTCGTCCTTCTAATTGCAGCCACGACGCATCACGATATCGTGCCAATTATTTTTTCCCTCTTCCCTCCATACTCCCTTTTTTCTCCCCTATAGGGAGGAAGGAGCGCAGTGACGCGAGCATAATTAGTTTGACCACGATCAAAGCGTTCCTCTAATGCCTCGGAGCGGACGCGAAGTGACAGCGATGGAAAACATTTGCCCGAACAGAGCGCGGTGAGAAAGGCGAGGAAAATATTTAAATAAAATCGACGCGAGCTTCGTGAGTTTCGTGAAGCACAGGGGAGAGAAGGATCCGTAAATAGCCTCGACAGAAATGACAAACATAGGTGGAATCCCGGTAGCCTGGCCCGGAGCTATATCTCTGCAACTTTTCCAGAAGGATAGTCCGTACCCTTCGATGTTCCAGCTCGCATGAAACGTCGGGGACGGCCGCTTCATGACCAAGAAACACTCGAGACTCTGTAGGAGCGTGATGTAACGTCTCTCCCCCGATCGAGGAACCCAATAACTGGAAAACGCACCGGAGCGTGCAGAGGTGCCTTCGATTCTCGGAGAACCTCCTCGAGGAGGACGGAAAGAAAAAGGAAGGACCACCGTGTGTCGATTCGCGTCGAATCTCGAAACGAGTGCGTCCTCCTCCTGCCTGGTGCACGGCGGATATCGTGCTGAGCCGCGACCAAGGGGAAAAGAGAACCAGGTCGCCGGAAAACGAGCGAGTCCGTTGAATAGGATTCGCGATGCAGTAAACGAAAAATAGCCACGTTCATACTCACCGGCAGAGGAAGTCTCTCTCGCCTAAACAGAGCTCCAGACAGTGCTGTCGCGAGGAGGCATTCATGGTTCTGCGTGTGTGGCCCTGAAGACGATGCCCCTGGACCCTGTCGATGCACCAGGCACGTTCGCATGGTTTCACAGCCAAGCAGCTCTTCTGAGCGTAAATCGTGAATACTGGAAACTGGGATTGTGAAAGGGCACCTGGAACAACAACAGACATTCGAATCAGGTTTGCGCATACCCGACTATGGATATCGTTTTGCTTTAGGCTACGGGCTGGATTATCGTGTTTCCCCAATGTACACTGTGAGATACTTTTTCGCGTACAATGATCCGAGGTTTATAAAATATGCAAATGTGCACTTTGACTGACAGCGATGGCGTTGATAGGTAGTGATGGAGAAAATAGAAGGGAAAATAGAGATACATCCTTGGTGACACGTATACTATATATAATACTAATACAGGTAACCCTCCTATAACACGGTAGATAGGTTCCTAGAAAATGTCGTGTTGTGTGAAACCGTGTTGTATGAGATCCAGAGCCAGTACAAAAAGGGGGGTTACGTTCCGAAAATAAAACAAATTGTAATCAAATTTTACTAAAAACAAATTTTTGTTTTAATTCTACATAAACAACTTAATTTTTATTAAAAATATAAATGCATGTGCAACACAAAACAAAAAAGAAAGAAAAATATTATTTTAATTTAAGGCAACTTTAATTTAATAAATTTCTTCGTCGTCACTGCTCATGTAGAAGTACAATGTTGTACAAGGTTTTTGAAATTTTTCTATCGTATTTTCTTAGAGCGAAACCGTGTTATAGGATGCCGTGTTGTAGGAAGGTTCCCGCAATTTATAAATCGTGTTACAGTGAAACCGTGTTATAGGATGCCGCGTTGTAGGAGGGCATCTGTACTATATAATACTAATAGTACTAATAGTATAATACTAATACTAATACAAGCCATATAAATAAGTGATAGAAGAAGAAAGAAAAGGGATGAACAAAACGATCAGTGAGCAAAGGAATTGGATGCCGGTGATAGCGATACCTTCGCTACCTTTGACACGTCATGAAAGTCAAAAAATATTATATTAAGTAATATCAAAAAGTATTGTTAACACTTTAATGACCGCACGTTTACGCAGTCAAACGTTGCCAGAGATCGGCAATATTTTTGAAGAATTAATTTAAAAAAGCTCTATTTAAAATCACGAAATAATACAGCATGTGCGAACATACACATAAAACAAAAAACAATGCCAATTTAACAACAAATTTAATATTTTTCCTTTGTGTAATGATTATTAATTATTAATCAGTGGTAGCATCACACACGTGCTGTACTATTAAATATTATTTAAAAGCATTAATTATTAATAAATATTGTCAGATGACTGAAAGGACCTAGGTGATAAAGACAGACCAACTCTGAAGTTCGAAACATTTTCCTCATTCCTAGCTTGACTAAGGACCAATGGTCATTTTCACCCCTCCAAAAAGTAAGAATATATGTGCCTATAATTATGAAAGTGGTCTAAGTCATCGACTTGAGAGGAACGATTTTATTATTTATTTCGTATTGCATTCATATATATTACGATAAAATATATTTATTTTCTACAAAACAGTGAAGAATTGAATCGTTAGATTAAGTTTGTAGCTTTATCGCAATTAATTCTATAATTCATGTCGTATTTAAAGACCGAAGCTTTTAATATTTCAGAAGCAAATATAAGTGACTTAGACCACTTTCATAATTATAGGCACATATAAGCACCTCCGAAAACTGTACAAAATTCTTATTCTTCTCCATCGATACATAGTTATTGTATTTTCTGACGTAGCCTCATTACAAAACTCGTATTGTATATAGAAACATTCCGAAATATATTACAAAAGATTAATTGGTCTATAACGTTCTCAATCCGGGTTCCAACATTATTATTAAGTAAATTAAGCAAGTATTAAAAAGTTCCGCAGCGTGCTTGTAATCTTGGATTGTTGTCACATTGATAGGGATACCTAGGGATACCTAGTCCCCTACAAAACAATTTGACTCCCAGAATCCAAAGACCTAGACCCTAATTCAGAACTACACTCTTTGTTAAAGGGATTATAACGCAAGGGAATAGTAGTCAGTGGAAACTGTGGAAGAACTGTATAGATCTTTATTGAACGGGCGAACGGTTAGAACTGGCCTATCTGTTTAGGGTCACGCAGGTTAAAGACGTCTCTAGAAAAGGGGAGACAAAAGACAAAACGTAGGGAACAGTGAAGAATTGAATCGTTAGATTAAGTTTGTAGCTTTATCGCAATTAATTCTATAATTCATGTCGTATTTAAAGACCGAAGCTTTTAATATTTCAGAAGCAAATATAAGTGACTTAGACCACTTTCATAATTATAGGCACATATAAGCACCTCCGAAAACTGTACAAAATTCTTATTCTTCTCCATCGATACATAGTTATTGTATTTTCTGACGTAGCCTCATTACAAAACTCGTATTGTATATAGAAACATTCCGAAATATATTACAAAAGATTAATTGGTCTATAACGTTCTCAATCCGGGTTCCAACATTATTATTAAGTAAATTAAGCAAGTATTAAAAAGTTCCGCAGCGTGCTTGTAATCTTGGATTGTTGTCACATTGATAGGGATACCTAGGGATACCTAGTCCCCTACAAAACAATTTGACTCCCAGAATCCAAAGACCTAGACCCTAATTCAGAACTACACTCTTTGTTAAAGGGATTATAACGCAAGGGAATAGTAGTCAGTGGAAACTGTGGAAGAACTGTATAGATCTTTATTGAACGGGCGAACGGTTAGAACTGGCCTATCTGTTTAGGGTCACGCAGGTTAAAGACGTCTCTAGAAAAGGGGAGACAAAAGACAAAACGGAGGGAAAGGGATCTAGGATGTAGAGTTTACTTCACTGGTTAGTTTTTACTACAACACTCTTCGTCCCAAAATTCAGCAATTCCAAGATAGTGCCAATCGAAACTCGTCAACCTAATTCGAAGCAGACTGCGATCAATGCTTCGATCCTCTCAGCTGACGGAAGTGTCTTAAACCAGGCAGCTCGTTATTCTTTCCCTGTCGATCCCCGAGCCATGAAACAGGGACCGCATTAAGTGGCGGAATAATTCCCTCCCAGCCGAGTGTCGCTGTCGCATCATCCCCCTTCGCGAAAATCATAATTAATCTCGGCACCTCGACGGTTAGGGGTGGGGCGTTTGGCAGCGTGATTCGTTGAAAAGTTTTCGGAGAGAAAGAGAGAGAGAGAGAGAGAGAGAGTGAGATACGGGAGAGACAGGCAGTCGAGGGTAACAGGTTCGCCGAAACACGGAACATCGATCTTCCAGCAGGCGCTAAAGATATTCAATTACCTTGCTTCTAGAAGGCTTCGCGGGACTAATGACTGTAGCTAATTTTAATGACCGGCGTAGAGACCGCAACGGGAACCGCGACGCGGACGGGGAACGTTGGTTCGTTCTGCGGCTTCGACACGATCCACACGATGTCGAATCATTCGTGGAACGCCGTATAGTAGGAAGATCTTACTCGTTACGGGCCGAGGGGTAAGCGCATTACAGTAATCAACGGCCACTTCCGGGGGCCTATATGCAGAAGACAGCTACCATTTACTCGTTATAATGCTACCGCATTACCAGATAATGGAGCATCGTCGGATCGTAAATATTTTACAGGCACGGGGAGAATTTTATCGGGGTGCCTTCCTCGCTTCTTACATTGTCTTCACCGTATTCTCGCGTTCCTATTGTGTTCGAAGTATGTAATCCCTATCAGGAATCCTCCATTGGGTAGGCCTCGGTTTCCTCTTCCTCTGCTACGTCTCCAGGCCTGATGCACCGCGACCGATGTTTTTCCGTGGGAGAAGAATCGAACGGAAGGTCCAGGCAAAGGAATTTTTATCCACGGTACATTCTCGTGACTCGGGGAAAATTGGCAGAAAAATTCGTGGGAAGCACGCGATTGATCATTTGCTTTACCGCGATCTCTCTCCGGTTTGTCAGACCCGAGTCGTGACTTCTGCGTGCCGGCTGATTTAAAATTCGGGGTCGGGCTGCTGTTCCTGAGGTGTCACGATTTATCAATTACCGTGCCGGTTAGTTAACACGCCGATGGTCCTGGCAAGTAATCAGCAACCGGATCGATGCCGGTAGCCCGCGTAGGAGGAACCCTTCTACCTGGACTGCGGAAAGAAGCGTGACACGTAGGCCGTGGTATTGACCGCTGCTATCGTTCTGTATTTTTCACCGTTCGTTTAACCAGCTCTCCCTTCCGCGTCGCTCGTTTCGCTATGAAAAATATCCTTCCCGTACCTGCTACACCGCAAACTACTGTTGGAATACCTGAACACCCAAATGCGTGATAAATACCGGTCGTTAAGTGTACCGAGCGAGACTAATTCTTGAAGGGGAATTTAGCTTTATCACGAAACGCTTGATGCTCGCGATTCATTTTCGAGGGTTCCATTGAGTATGAATTGTGCATGTTGCGTATGCAGCTTCGGCCGAATTTAAATTCCGAATTTTAATCCTGATATAATAGCGTGGTTAGAACTCGCGAAACTTGATTTACGTTTAGGAAATAAAATTATCGCAGATCGATACCTGGTTTCAGGACTTTATTTTCGAAATTATTGCGAATATAATTTTTGGACAAATTTGTTTTCGCTGCTTCGAGGAAGAGAATTATTTTTATCGTATCGTAATACTTTAATTATTTTATTATTGTGTTTCGCGTATACAAAGGTTAGGTAATAGTCGTTATTTTTAATTTAGCATACTTGCTGCTAGTTTTTTCTTTATCATGGTCGTGTTGGTTTTTAAAATTCGATATCTGTCGTTTGCAATTATTTTGTCAATAACTGAAATACTAATTCATATTCTTCTATCTATGTTAGTCCTATTAACAATGCAAAATATTTTAGATATCGATATTGGAATCATCGGCGATAGAAGCGATAATAATTAAAAATTTTCGAGCATTTGCAATAATTGGAAGAAAGATATTTTCGCTAGTTTTCATTTCGAATAAAATGTGGGAGCGATATGGGTGCAGAACGATGAAGGATTAACCCTTTGCACTCGACGATCTTTTAGTTAGAGAAGAGTAGAAATTCAAAGATTCTCTACTAAAAAACTGGCGATACTTTTTT